ACAGCAGCAAGGGTGATGCCCAAGTTTAGGGGAGGCAAGGCAAGTGAGATCCCAATTTCCCTTCRCTACATGTGCCGCTAACATAGCTGTCATCAGGAATCTTCTAGTGTTGTCATGAGGGATGTCATGAGGGTGTTTTTTTTTTTTTTTTTCAATGCATGTCTGGTCACGAATATCTAAGTTTTTGTGCAACTTTATGCMGGTTAGAGTGTTGCAACATGGAGTTCTTGAAGCTGCATCTGAGAACCAAGCAGGTAAAGTAATAGCGATCCCAGCTTTAATCTGTGGCTGTGTCAGGGGCTGTCAGATCTACTGCTTTGCTGAACTGGAGCACAGGTATAACACGTTAAAATAGTTACCAGAGGATTACTAGCTTAATGAACTGCATAATCCAGTTAGCATGGATCCTCCCACATACCTAAGTTTAATTAAACACCTTGATTGGTGTGGCAGAACTCATTAATTTTCACTGATTGACAGACTTCTAAAGGAAGTGAAGTTGCAGTRCAAGCAGGTCTTTGGATAGAAGTTGTGGTGGCAGAGTGAGCTCTGTCTTTTGAGGAGTCCGGAATAAAGTGTGAGTTATGGAAAAAAGTGTTGTTTATAGTGAAAGAAGATTTAATTTATGCAAGTCTTCTTTTTCCTGCTTCTTTCACTTGCCTTGACATTTTTTTTTAAGTAGGACATTTTAGAACTTTTTCAGTTTTTTTTTTTTCAATTTTGCAATGCAGTTACCAGTTTTCAGTTATTTTTGCAATTTTGTAGATTATGCACTGTGTGGTTCTGGTATCTCATGATAATGTCTTGAGGAAAGATGTCTCTTGTGATACTTCTTAGTAATAGTGTGCTGTGTTTGATGTGTTAGGGGAAGGAGGGGATCATTTGTTTAACATGTTAACTCTAATGGAGAGATATAAAATAACAAACAAACCTTTTCTGATAAAAGAATGATTTTTCTTAAAGTAACATGTGATCTGTCATAAGAAATAAGGTGAAAATATAATGTAGTTATTTAACTACTAAGTTTTTAAATATATTATCATATATCATATATTTTTATGATTATTATATGATTGCTTTTATTTTAATTGACCAGTATCACTTCTGGCCTGTCCCTGCTGTAACACTTAGCATGTCTCGTACTGCTGCTTGTGAGAGGAAAGAGAACAGTTGCAAGGAATCAAAAAGCAATTTCTGATTAGGAGGATATAATGGATTCTAAGTTATCCTCTTAATCAAGTTTGTTTTGGAGAGAAATAGCTGTATTAATGAGCTGTATTAATGAGTTTCTTACAACTTTTGCTATATGTTGGTGAGTGTGTACAACGTATTTGTAAGTAGAAAATTCAAGTGCACTATGGTTGAGGCTACTGTTAAAGAACCACCTAGCAGTTCATTCTTCYTAACCATATGAGTGTCTTCGTGCTGTGCGTTTTTTCCCTCTGGGGAGAAAAAAGATAGGGCAGCTTAAGGCATCTTGCATTGCAGACTTGAGAATGAAGGGAGAAATGCATTTGAAAGTTTGCAGTCTTGGGGGAGTTGACCACGAGATCAGTAACAGAGCAGAGTTTGAACCAGTCCCACCATGTTCCTGCTAACCCGCTCTGCAGCTTCTTCCTGAGACAAGCAAGGTCTTCCACGTAACGAAGGAGCTGAGGCAAATGCAAGTGAGCATATGGGATATCCTGCAGAGAGCCTTGGGGTAGAAAAGGCTGGACCCTGCTTTTCTCTCTCGAATGTTGGTCCAGAGGGTGCCCAGGCAGCTGCTTTGGTCACTGTGGCCCTGACCGAGGGAAGGGGACACAAAATCTATAACTCAGCTAAAACTTGATAATGTTCAAAAAATTCTTCTCACCAGCCTGTGACTTCAGACTTGGGGTGCTGCTTGGCTGTCATTCCACCTTATAGTTCGTGATTAAAACTCTATCAATATACTTTGGTGAATCAGTACTGTTGAAATTTCAAAATTGGATTAAAGCACACAAATCTGAGCTGGTTCCCAAATGGTTCATATCACTCTAGTTTAAAGACAATCTAGGAGGTGAAATCGATGTTTCTTCTGGGTCTGACAAGGGTTTTCCTCCAGTGATAGTGGAAGTTGTGAGAATAAGCTGTTAGGAAGTACAAGAGAAACATGTACTGCCATTTGTGTTTCTTTCCAGGCAGTGTCCATGGCCTCATCAGCTCTGAGTTATTGGTCTTTCTTGGCAAAGAAGCACTGCAGAGACTGACTTTGTTATTGGTCTTTCTTGGCAAAGAAGCACTGCAGAGACTGACTTTGTGGGCAAGTAGTTGTATCTCTGGTGTGGCTTCCTTAGGTAACCTCTCTGAGGACACTGGCTGGAAACCGTAGAAGAGAGGGGTGCGGAAGGAGCTTCTGGCTGTGTTTGTTGCAAAATGCTCAGAAAGAGTATCTTAAAACCTGAGCAGAGCGCAAACAGAGCTTGTTACCTCAAAGTTAAGGGACGCTGCACTAATACAATACCCAAGAAGGAACTCCTAATGCTGACATCCAGTACAGTTATGGGCATGAGCTGTTAAAGAAAACTCTTACTTGGCTGATATGGATTTTTAAAGCATTTAAAACTTTTCTGGCATCTTTCTTCATCCCTGATGTCAAGAAAAACGAAAAATGCAGCAAAAAAAAAAGGGGGGGGGTAATTAGAAATGCAAATAATAAAACTGTGGGGTTTTTGTTTTGTTTTTGACGAAGGGTCTGTAAGAAAGGAAAATATTGTTACTGCAGGCTTTAAAGCATGATGTATGTTCTTTCAATGCTCTTACTATTGAGAAAGTTTATGAAGTTGCTTCCCTTCCAATACAAAATAGATCCTAGCTTTATATTTTCTATAATTTGCCCTCTCTAATTCTGACTTAGTTTCTTCTGCTTCATCCCTAGGGATGGCTGCAAGCCATCTGCTCTGACTGAACACATAGCGCTCTGCTCCAAGAGGCAAATCCTTGTCTGTCTTAACACAGAAAGAAAGCCCTGCGAGTAAAAGTGCTAATGAGTTTATTGCCTGAAGGAAGCTTTGAAATAGCATGTTGCAAAGTTTTCATTCTCTTAGTTGATGGTAATTTGGGCAAGCCAGACTACATCACCACATCACTATTTTAAAAAACAAACCCAAAAGCTCTAAACTACCCAGTCCTGTCCATGATATTTGCTTGGAGGCTTTTCTTTCTATGCTAGACAAAAGACACTTCTAAAATGCTACTTGTATTTCTAAACCTCACTGAAGCAAATAGAAATTAAGCTCAGTTCTGCCAATAGAGTTAGGATGTGCTTGCTTAGTTTCTGTGGGGTTTGTTTGTTTGTTTGGTGGTGGTGGCAGTGGTGTTTTGTTCTTTTCCAAGTTCTCCCTTAGCTCTTGCTTGTCCTGCTAGTAACTGTTTTGGCACAAAATCACTGTGGCAGAACCAGCGTGCCACCTAGTGACTTTAGTAGCATTTTATTTAATTTATTTTAAATCTAGAGCTGATGCTCATCTCTGCACATAGGTAAGTCGTATTAGTACAACTGGAGTTGCAGATCAACTTGCCCCGTCAATTGCCTGATACTTTCTCTGAGGCCTGATTGGAAAGAATAGGTTGTGTCTGAAACTCTTGGATTAAGCTGTAATTGTGTGAGGAAAAACTGGCAGAGGATATCAGGATACAGCACAGGAATGCCCTTCTCAATGTCTGATGCAGTTTGTGTTGTTCTGGCTTCTGAATCCCCCTTCCTACTGAAGAGGGGCAGGATAGTCTCCTATTTAGAAGCCATAACTGAAAGAAAGGTGGAGAGGTGTTAAGGAGAAATATTGATTTGTCAACAGAAATTATATTCTAGAAATACAAACCTGGGAAGGGGAGGGRGGGGAACACTGGTCGTGCAGCCTTACTAGGTATTTATCTTCTGGGTATTATATCAACAAACACTCAGAACTAACATGGCTCAATAATCTAATGGAGTTGCTGTCTTATCTAAAGCATTTGTATCAGCAAATCACCAATCATATCAGAGAACAATTCTTTATATTACATATAGCAGCAAACAATAGAGTTTATTTTAAAAAAAAAAAAAAAGCTGTTAAATAATCCAGTCTCTCTAATTTCAAGGATATAACACATTTTACTAGAATACCAAGCCAGATCCCCAGCTGCTTTTCCTGTCTCCCTTGATGCATCCTTTTGTCCAGCAGCAGGGCATGAAGRAGAGACTGCCTTGGTAAAATAGGCTCTTGCAGCCTTTTGGAATTGTTATTCCCAGGCAGGAGATACCGGAACCATCAAGCATGASCCGACTGAACAGGGGAGGCAAAGGGCCCTGGGCTGCTGTGCTGGGCTCGGACCGCTGCATGGCAGCAAAGGGRCTCCAGGTCCTGAGCTGCTATTTCGGGCCAGTCACTGCTGTGCTTCGTAGTGTCACACACAACACTGTGGTGTCTTCTGCTTTCTACAACTTGGATGATTTTTTTTTTCTTTTTCCCCACAGCCTTTATTGTTTTACAGTCCTTATAGAGCTTTTTTTTTAATAAAAAAGTCATAGAAAAGTGAGTTTTCAAAGATTTTTATTTTCCCATTAATTCCTTTAGCTTTCTTTCCTTGACAAAGAAAGTGAGAGACCCACTTGAGTCACGTGAATTTAATCTTTTTTATATGATTTTATTTTTAGCTTTGTGTGCAGGTAACAGAACATGCTCCCTGACACTGAATTGGCACTGGAAAGTATTTAAAATTAGTAATTACTGATGGTGCTTTAAGAAAGTCATTCCTGGTTTCTGATCTCAAGCAAGGAACAAGTCAGCTCCTTCTTCATGAAGATGCAGAAGGCAGAGAAACAGRGATTCTTTTGTGAGTGGATGTAGCTCTCAGTTTTAGCAAGCATTAGGTTTGGGGAATAGATTCACCCAAAGGCTACATATTTCAATGTTTTTGAATCTGACAGAGGAAGAACCCTTGAAATGAAAGAAAGGAAATATCCTCCAAAATCACAACTTTTTTTTTTTTTTTTCCTCTTAGCCCACCCATGTAAACACTGGGCATTCTTTTTTGTGATCAGCTTTCTCAACTACTTTGTAACTGCAGGTCTGCTTGTCGAAAATACTCTCGCATTTCTCTTCATCAAAATCAACTGGTGTTGCGTAGCTGCCATTGGGAAAAGAGACATGATGAGAGCTAGAAGTAAACAGCTTACATGTGAGACAGTATTTACACTTTTAATAGCAAGAGGCTGCATTAGGGGCATGATGAAGTGATTGCTGAGGAGGAAAGGGAGCTTCAGCCAAAGTTACTTAGAGTGCTGCTGAAGGAGGATGGGAGGAGAGTTAGTTTCCTGATCTAGTTAGGTTTGAGTTCAGTGTGCTTATTTGCTATGCCAGTGTCAGTATTGCCATGTCTCTTYCCCTGTAAAGTCCTGTAAAGAATGTAAAGTCCATGACTGTCTAGGTGTGACTGTCATACATGGGCTTGACTGTAAAAAGCAGCAGTGTGTGGCATTGGGAAGATCTGCACCAAGAGTGGTAGAAAACTTTCAAACAACTAAGTGTTCTCACTTGAGTCAGGATTTCATCTGAAAAAWTCACAAGCAGATTAACTTTTTTTTTCCTCAAAAACAAGTTTTTTTTTTTCTTTAAACACGGGCAATATTTGTCAGGAACTTCTCATATGATCTGTGGTGATGGTGCTGAGTGAATACCTGACTTTATGGTATGGAGTGAGAGAAGGGTTGTGATCATTTTTCAGGGGCTTCTGAGTGGAGTGCTGTGTGTTAGATCAAGGCAGCAGAGGAAAACCCTGCTGCAACCCTGCTGTCAATCTGAGCTCACCTGCTACAGCAACTCGTGCCATCCTTGCCACAGGAGCAGTCCAGGCAGTTCTCAGCCCTCCAATGGGAGCCAAATTGATGCAGTGTTCCCTTGGAGTCGATGCAGCCTGAAAATACAGTGTGCAAACAGCCTGCTGAACAATTGTACTGGCCATGCTGCTGCCTGTACAAACAGGGTGGGATCTCTGTAGGCGTTTTATGTTAATGTTTCTGTTTGTTAAACGCTGTTCACAGGGCTACTACTATACTTGTTCATGGAAAAGGATATCCTAGGCCCCTACATTCCTCTGTCTCTTAGCAGCGTGGGCTTTCTTAGAGTAGCTTGTCTTTAGATACAGGAATCAGAGTGCCCAGCAGAAAGGAAAATAGGCAGAAGTCCGTTTAGGAGTAAGAAAAGGCTTTGATGCTCCCCACCCCCCCCTTYCCATTTACACCAAATGTTGTTGACTTCTTATTTAAAGCAAGTCTTTGCAGGAGGAAGGCATTTAGTGGATGTAAAGTTCCTGCCCAATGGTCATGTAATAAATCTCCTGAGTGAGGTGGAAGACAAGATTTCGTGAGGAGAGGGCAAAACAGGTTTGGGTTCTGTCCTTGCATACTGCTCTTGAGCACTTTACTCTAGCTCCCCACATCTGCAGTCTGGGAGATGAGCTGTCTTCTGAAAGAAGCTGCTGCCACTGCACCAAAGGAAGCCACAGTCTTGTCCTTACCTCTCACGGGACAGGGAAACAACTAATGAGTCCATTGATCAGTGTGCCAAATATTTGCCAGTCTGCTCCCTGCTTTACAGCTACCGCTCACAGTGCCCTGCAGTCCGCGTGGGCACACCTCCCCTGCACACGCTTTCTCTTTCTCTCCTTCTCCCCTGCCCTCTCCGTCTTTCTAAATATGCTGGTTTTGAACTGCAAATGCACAGGGTAGCTGCCAAAGCGAAAACAGAATTAGTATGTCATGCAAATGGATAAACTAACCTTATCTCTGGAAAAAAATCCACTTGCAATTCAGTCTCAGTGATGCTTCCCAAATAAATTCTTTCCTTTTATAACACTGCAAACTCAGTGTTCTCTATATCCCCATTTTATCCACATTACCATGTTTTTTCCTCACTGTTCCCAGGTTTTTAACTTGTTCTACATTGGAAAAATCAAGTCCAACATTTCTGTGGTGATCTCTGCCAAGCTGAAGACAGTTGACTTCTTACCTAGAATTTCTTCACCAGGCTTCCCTGCCGTCAGTGGTTCAAAGAGGCAAAATGCATCAGATATTGTCACACAGGTGACAAGAATGAAAAGGAAGGCCAAGAAGGTTTTCTGAAGAATAAAGTAGACAGTGTAAACACAAAAGTGACTATTGAAAAGTCTTATTGCTACCACCATTAGAAATAATAATAAAAAGTTACCTTAAAAAAATTACTGGGAAAGATTTTGCTAAACAGTAGGTGCTAAATCAAGGTTTTAAACATCTCTTGATCAAATATTTTGTATTTGTGAAAGAAGGAAACAAGCTACTGGAATCTAGTGACATATGTTTTCCTGTGGAGTGAGTTTAGCTATATTTGAGTTGAAAATGACTAAAAAAGGCATGGTAACATTTCTGAGTTTAACCAGAAGTTCAGATGTTACTCAAGCTTTTCACAAAATTTAAAGTCAGTTCCAGGTTGAGATGCAACACAGCTGCTTGCTGGCAGAAAAGATTATACTCTATATTTGGTATCTTCTGTTGTACAAATTCTGCTCTTGTGCAAGGTTAGTACCTGCCTGTCCTTATTATCTGACTTCTGCTGTCTCTGACTTCTGCTGTCTCTGACTTCTGCTGTCTCTGANTCTGACTTCTGCTGTCTCTGACTTCTGCTGTCTCTGACTTCTGCTGTCTCTGAGTTTACATCAAAGAATGCTCAAATGAATCTGATAGAGCCTCCTATAAGATGTTCAGTGTCTCTTACAATATAAAATGTGAGGACTTACCATTCTCGCAGTATTACAAGGCTTTTGAGAAGGAGGCAGCCTGTAGGAAGATCAACTCAGAGGACTTTATATAGAGAGGGACTTTCTGGTACCAGTCCTTGAGCAAACCATCTCTACATGAATATCTCCAATAAGATTTTTGCCAAATGACCTCATATGGGTTGACATTATTAAAATAAGCCTATCATCAAGAGGAAGGTTTGGTCCTAAGAGGTTCTGAGGAAATAGGTGTGCCTTCTGTGCACTAAAACTAGAAGGCAAATATGGGAGGTACTTAGAAGGAGTACCAACTCTGGAAGAAATATTTAGCACTCTGACTGTTTAACAGCTGAGAAGCTGTTTAGACACTTTGTGGTTCTACTTGCTACATCAAATTTTGCAGGCTTTGTTTGGACATTTAGATTTTAAAAGATGCTGACTTTGATCTATCTCCTGGCTTTCTTTGTTCATCAGCTGAAAGTGAAAGGAGGCTTTTATGGGAAAGGATTGGTGGTTATAAAGGTTGTGTGAAAGAGTGGGTATCTGTGGAGGGAGGTTGGCATCTCTAGGTRCCTAGAAAAGAATACTAGATAACAATTTTCTTCCTTGTTCAGTTTGCTGCTATATAGAACACCTATAGGCTTAGACTGTCTGTGGGTGTGAAGAAAATGGCATCCTATACTCTCTCCCTTTATCTCTGTAGACACAGAATGGGCCTTTCTGGGAATGGGAATGGGCCTTTCTGTGAAGGCTGTGTGTCAAGGATGGGTGCCAATTCCAAAGGCTTAGAGCAACAGCTTTATAGCAAGGGAAGCCAGTACAGGTCTCTGTTGCTTAGCATTTAAAAGGTTAGTTCAAGAATTGAAAAAGCATGTGATGCTGTTAAGTTCATCATAATATTGTGTTGCCTTCTTGATTGGTTTGGTAGTTAACTCATGTTGAGGTCTGTGTTGCAGTGACCACCCCAAATCTTTTACTGAAGCTACTCAGTTGAGAGTCAGTTCAGGATGTCCGCTTAAGAAAGTCAACAGTATTGTAGCTCATATTGTTGAGTGATCACAGCTTGTGGGGTCAACCTTAGCTGGCTTGCAATTGGTAGATTGGATAAATAGCCACCACAGTGTTGAGAGACTTCTTTGTAGCTTTTCTTTGAGGTGTGGTTTGTTTGTTTGTTTGTTTGTTTGTTTGTTTGTTTTGTTTTTCAATTACCAGGTCTTTCTTCAGGCTGAGAGATAAGAACTTCAGGGTTGACAGGTGTTCATAGGTTTGATAAAATTACCCAGAATCAGTGTCTCACTGAAAAATGTATTTGGCCAAGTTTATATATGCACTGTCCGGGAACAGGAGACAGTACAACAATTGTGCATGATTCACTCTCTTGACATGTCATCACTGATAAATCAACAGCACATGACAATCTGTAAACACAAGCACTGGGAATTTACTTAATGACTTCAGCAGAGCCCAAATGTCCACTTTGGATCTCTTAGAAATATATCTGGAACTAATTAAGAGCATGGTTGTGGTTTAACATACTGTTGCTCTGTGACATAAGGAAGTGTACTAGCTCTAGATGCCTGCTACTACTGCTGACCTTTTTWAAGTTTAACATCATATGAAGCAGCTCTTCCACCTTGGCTGTGAATGCTGTGGGAGGCAACTCTGAGTCCTCTTTCAGGTATTGTCACCTTCATATTTTCAGAGATAATCTGGAATAATCATTCCATGGACTATCAAGTTACCTTAATTGTGTACATGCTTTTAAAATCTATGTTAATCCCTGAGTTTATCTGGAAATGGTTTTCCTCATGTCATGATTCCCAAATGAAGGATCATTGCTAAGCAAGAGACATAAAGCATGATGAAAAGAATTAAAAGGCCTGGGATCAAGATGCTGTGCTTGCAAGGGGGCTACCTCCCTCCCTGCTCTGTGGCCACCACTGTGAAAGGGAACCACAGGTATGGGAGCAGCACGGTCATAAATCTGGAGATGGTAAAACAGAATGAGTAGGCATTTTACTGGTGGTCAAAAAGAGGTTTCCAGTTTATGGAAAATGCAACATTCCCTAAACTTCTAACATTCAGCTCAAACCATGCAGGAACAAAAAGGTCTTACAATGAACCAGAAAGGTTCATACTGATTCCAGAAATGAGAAAATGCTCATCAAATGGGGATGCTGCTCTAGTTCTATTGGTGCCTGTAATTTGCTGAGCCTGCCCCATGGGTAAGCTGCCATGGTGAACTTGCATGGTGGGTTCTGCTCTGGCTGCAGTGACTTTGGAAGCAGTTTTGGTCTTTTGCATGATACCAGGTTTGTACAGTCTTCTGTCTTTAAAACAACCTGTGTATGCATGAAATGAAAGAAAATTCTCCTTCATAATGTYAGTTTATAAAGTGAATTATTTAGAACCATTTCTGTGTTTTTGGGGAAGCTTATTTAATTCTGTTTGTCTCCACCTAGTTGGCTTTATTTAGACAGCACGAGCTTCTTTCCATTTTCTAACCTATTAGTCACTGATCCTACGAAGATAAAATTTGTGRTTGGATATTATTGCTGCATAAACTACGAAGAAGTTGTGATGGGAATGCAGCCCACAGTGCTTCAGTCAAATTCATGGTATAGCTTGGCCACTGCATTCTTTTCTTGGCTGTTGTTTTCTGCTATAATGAAAAAAACAATCCTATTCTCTCCTGTATTTCTCTTTCTCCATTGTTCTACAGCCTTTCTATAATTTTCTGATGGGCAGCAACCAGAACAGAACCATTTAAGGGGAGCTGTTTTGGCCCTTTCCTCTGCATGTTTCTCCAGTGTTGTGAACTGGTTAACTCAAAATAACAATCTGCATTGCATAACCATGTCAAGAAGCTAAAGGCTAAAAGAAGCTGATGAAACACTTGTTTTGAAGAGAGACAAGATCTGTGGCAAGATCTGAGAAGTATTTTAATGGTTGCTGAGGAAGTACCTTTGCTAGAACCAGTGCTTTCTRTTCTTTGGGAAGGCAAAAGGGGATTGCAGCAGCAAGAAGGGTRGGACTCGAGGCCAAACTGTGAATCTATGAAAGTGATTGTGAGAAGCAGTTCTTGCAGAAGCAGGAGAATACATTCACTGATGCAGGGTATCATCTCTCCTAGCCATGTGTCTATATGCTGTCTTGCCCCTTCTTAAGGAGCACACAGTAAACAGAAGTACTGCCTGTTCTGCAGCCTGTAGTTACTGAATGCTGTCCCTGCTCATAGCTGTAACTACACTGGAAAATGTTCTAATCATTGCAAGAAACCTCACTGAGAGTAATAAAAGAGTACTAGAAGGGGAATGAATAATAACAACTGTATGCAAAGGAGTTATAACTATGTAGAGCGTGAGTTTTCCACCTGCAACCTGAGTGCATGATTCTCGGTACTCATCTGCAGAGCTCTGGCAGCCCTTCCCTCTTTCCAAAGGTGAAAATGCCAAGCAATAGTTGGTGTTTAAAAGTACAATTATCAGCAAATAATTAAATGTTCTTTCAGCTTGATGTATTTGCCTTCATAAAAGGACTGCTAGCATTTTCTTAGCCTTGATAAGTGGGTACCTGGCCTTAGGCTGATCTAGGAGTGACCTTTAAGAGGTTGCCAGGTTATGCAAGAAAACTCTTCAGTTCTCTCTGCACCCACTTCTTCCTTTTAATGTTGAGTGTGAAACTGAAATATGACTATAAGCCAGGGAAAACATATTTGTCTGTACTCAGCAGATACTCTTAATATTCTAGGGCGAGAATGGTATAGTAAGAAGGCAATGAGGCCTTGGTGTGGTTGTAGGGGGCTTTTTGTTTGTTTGTTTGTTTGTTTTTTGAATTGTTTTTGTTTTGCTAAAGTACTGTCATTGCTTGTCATCAGTTGTTCTATAATAGAAAGGTGTGCTGAGGATTGACAGCTTGGATTGTGCCTGGATGGGACTCCCACAAACTTATTTTCTAACTTGCAGGCTCACACTTTTGGCTGGGGTGGTGGGAGATGATATGATTAACTTAGACAAGGTATCTTCTGTACCCTGGCAGTAGGTAGTGCCTGTGTTCAGCTCTGACAAAGATGTGATGAAGTGTCTGCATCCTCGGAGCATCTCTTGAGCCAGCTAAGAGTGTGCTGGATTCTCTTGCTACTCCAGAGATTTCCAGAGTCTGACAACTGAGCTCTAGCTGTATAGTCATGGTCAATGTTAAGTGCTGGGAGGTCACCTCAGGGGGGAAAAAAAAATGTGATTTAGAGGAGGAGATATTTCCTGGAGGGAATCTGGCCTAGTGACCTTGTGCCCTCCCCAGACTGCTCCTGGGGTATGAGCCACTATGCGGCATATTTGAATAGTGCATTGCTTCCCAGTAAAGATGAATTTCCTCAGGAGGGAAAATATTTGCTGTTCTGATGATTAGTTAGAAAGGAACCTCCAAAGTGTGCCAATGTGCTGGTATGTAACGTGTGTCAGAGCAGTATATTGATGAGTGCATTCCTCTCAAAGAAGCTGAACCTCCCAAGCGTTGTTATATAAAAAGAAGAGAAGGGCTTCTGAGTTGCTTTGTCTGCATTTATTTTACTTAAAATGCTCAGCAATGCAAATGGCAGTAATCACAGAAATGACACATTGATAATCTGAATTAGAARAATTAGGAGATTAAAAGCGAGCTGCTTAAGTGCTTTCTCTTGAAAGATCTCCCATGTGTTAAAACACTTATTTCATGGCAAAGCTTCTGTAGGAAAGGGAGGAATTGAATTCTGCAATGCATAGTCTGGAGCAGGTCTGCTATTAACCCACACGAGAATAGACAGTACATTCCTTTGAGGGGTCATCCTTCTCCACCACGTCGTAATTGCAGCTTTCCTTGTTGAAAACTACTTTGCATCTCTCTTTGTCGAAACCAACAGGAGTATGAAAGCTGTTGGCAAAGAAGCAGCAAATGTTAAAATGAGAGCAAACATTCAATCATTTAGTAGTTCAGTGACTATTCCTTGAAGGACTGCTGAGTGAGATATCTCTGAAATTGCAGCTAAGAGTAGGGAGCTATCTATGCTAAGTGCTACTCTCATAGCTATATGGCTGGGTGTCAGCTGGTGTCTGCAGTGGCCTGTGTAGATGGACCAGTTCACTTGGAACTAGAATAGGGATTTCAGGCACAGCACTTTGGTATGACATAAAACATGCTGGAGCCATGTTCATCTCTTCTCTATTAATTTTTTGCTGCTGTAATTTGCTTAGTTGGAGTGTGGTTTCTGTTTCCTGACAGGAGAAGTATTGCCTGAGCAAAGGCAGTGACCAGAATCAAGTCATTTTTGCTCTTTCCTAAGATGCCATGAAAGAAAAGGTGAATTAAATGGCTCGGAACAGAGTCCTTGTCACTCTATGGTCTCCATGTTTGGTGGAGGAAACCTCCTGAAGTGATTCTGATCGTTTTAGGCCCTCATGAAGGACCTTAGTTAAGCATGTGGTAGTACAAATTCCTTCTCACTCCCAATTTCCCTGCCAAGGAAAGACTTAACTACAGTGTGAGAAGACTTGGCAGGTGGCTTGAAGATAAAGCCAAGTATCAGTAGGAAGTGTCTAGAAGGGCCTGACCATTCCAAGGAGGTAGGAAGTGAGGAAAGAAAAAAACACATCCAGGTGATAAGGAACCATATGTGACTTGTCTCAGCTTTGTGAGACAGRTGTGGAAAGGCTATTGTAGGAGCCTGTTATTCTCAACAGATGTCCACCCACAGTCATCCTATTGGCAATGGTCCCCCTGAGAAACTCAAACTTACAGGCTGCAGCAACGTATCGCATCTTGACTGCAGCTACATCTGAAGCAATTTTCTGTCCTTTCTATTTCTCCAAAGGGGTATAATTTTCCATCCAGGATACAACCTGTGCAGGAGAGCAGCACAACAAAAGTTATTTATCTATATCTCCACAAAAAGGCTGAAAATTTTTTAAATAACTGCGAGACTCCTGGAAATTCTCTGTACTGTTTCCTATAAAGGAGAAATCAATTTTCTCTCTTGACTGCTGTCCAAATGACTTTGAGAGCCTGAACCTATTTCCTCTTCATTTCTTAGAGACAATGTCAGCATGACAATCCAGAGCAGCAACAAAAAATCAAAGGCTGCTGCTACCTGCTGTCACACTGTCTTTGGCATCACCCTTAACTCCACTAGCACCTTTACGTGCTGGACAACAGCACTAATACTGCCACAGTTACACCCAGGAAGAGTTGGTGCTGAAACCTTCTATTCAGGTCTTTCTGACATCTCCCTCCTTAAAGTTTCAGACCCATCCTGCAGTTGCCCAAAGAGCCAATACAGAACTTTGCCTGTTCTTACCTTTGGCAGATTCCCCTGCAGTGTTCGTCTTCGTAAAACAGTAGGCATCGCCCAGTGCCACTATGATGCCCATTGCAAGAAGGAAAGCCAAAAAGCCCTTCTGTAACAGAGACACAGAGCCCTCTGCATGAGTTCAATGACACTTAGACTACATTTGTTTTGAAAAACACGTGGGAGCATTGTAGAAGGGACCTCCTAGATATTTCATTGCATTGATGACTTTTTCCTTAGATGAGAAGGCAAAAAATGCTATAACATAAATGCGTTTTCAGCATCACTTTATGTTAAGGCTATTGTTTCTTGAAATTGTGAGTGATTAAAAGCAGCAGTGAAAGTCTTTTGTTCTAGAAACAGCTCTGCTGCCTACATTGCATGACTTGCTTCATGAACATCAAAAGATAGTGAAAGGTCCAGAAACTTATGGACATGGTGGGGGACAGGGTGAATTCCCTTTCTCTGCTGTGGAAATGCTTGCTGCCTTGAATTTTATGCGTTGAGGGGATCCTGACCTTCCAGGGAGGATCTCCCTTATCTGGGATAGTAATTGCTGTATGTTAGATGCCCTGAGCTTGCTAAGCTTGAAAATGGCCTTCCTCCAAACTGGCTCAGCACAGGCCAGAGGTCTTAGTGCTGTCACTCATGCCTTTCCTGCAGCAGCTGGAATCCTGCTCTTTGCTGCCCTGGATTGCTTTCCGTGAGCATTTTATCCTAATGTTTGTCCTTATCTTGCTATTACTAAATGTGCCAGTCAGATGAGCTTGGAYATGTTCTCTCTAAAGCGCAGTTCCAGCACAGAAAGAGAAGGGGAGGTTGTTGGTGTGATTTGTGACTGAGCTGGCCTTATGCTGGACCAACTGCAGGATATATTGGCTGAATAAGTCAGAAAAAAGCCCACATGCAGAGGATATCAAGATAGTAAGAAAGCACTGCAGAAACAATATCTATAAGAAAAAAAGGGAAGAGATTATTGCTGTTACACTAATGCCGAGGAATCTTAGTTAAACATCAAGGTTTTGCTCTAGATTATTTACTAACAAAGCACTTTAAGAAGTGTCTTTTGCTTCAGATAGTTCACTGCCTTAGAAAGTGCATGTCATCAGCCATCTTGCAGAACAAAATCTTCCAGACTGGACTGAATAGCCTATGAAAGTGAATGTGAAATGTCATACCAGATCACCTTGTCCAGCTACAATTTGTCCCATTCAGTATAGCCAAGCCCTCAGGAAAGTGTAAGTAGAGAAATAACTCCGTGATAATTATTCCACTTATTTACAAATCTTGTTACACAAACAACCGTTTCCTTTGTAAAACTTAGGCCATTCCTGAGGTTATCAAAGGTAGTATTCCATGTCTTGTGTTGGGATAATGTGGACATAAATTACAAAGGAATTATTTTATAAAGGAAGCTTTTCTAAGAAAAGGCAAACAGCGGATAGAGGACCCAGCAATATATTTGTACAGCTTCTTGCAAACAATTCCAAAACAAAGAACGAAGTTCACCAGCAGCTTCATAAATGTCTCTATTCTTTGCATCTTCTAGCAGTTTTTTAAAATTAAGAATAGTTACATTGAATAAATGTGTAATTGCATGACTCTCTTACATAACATTCTTTTGTAGTTTTAACACAAATAGCTTTTAAAGATATAAAATGGTGACTTACCATTATATAACGTGTGAATTCCAGAGTGCTCAATGTCTCTGGATGAACTCTGCAGTACAGTCTGCAAGCAGATTTTCTGCGTTGCCTTTATATTGAGGAGAAARGAATGTTGTTATATATTGAGCAAGTCAGGTCTATAAAAACAGCTTGCTCAGCTGAAAGGAAGTTATGTTGAAATTTCTGAGGAAATCACTGAAATTTGGYGGTTGGTAACAAGAAAGTGTTTGAAACATTCTCTTTCGAATGTCTGAACACTGAGCAAGCAAAGAGTTGAACTAGGAATTCTCTGTTGCTTATAGAGAGCCTTATAATTTCACTCTATATAATATGGAGAGAGTCTTATAATTGCTCTCTATATAATACGGAGAACCTATAAGCCTTATGATTAGATTAAACACAATTTAAATGAAATAAAGGACTGGCAGGCTTTCAAGGTAAGCTTACCCAGACAGCTGTAGGCAGTGTTATATGGTTGGTATGTTGACTTATTAGTCCTGGGATTTTTAGCTTTGGTAGGAATGCTGATCTTTTCTTCTTTCAGTGGGCTCGGATGTGCCTAGAGAGGGAAAGTAGGAGCTGACAGATCTTTTGCCAGATCTTTGATGGATACTCGTGTTTAATGCTACGATGTGTACTGTAAGGTAATCGGATGTTATTGGTCATTATCGGTATCAAATCTTCTTAATGTTCCAATTGTAGTCAAAGCTGGAGCGCTTTACAACACTGCACTTTTCCGCAACTAAAAGAAGTAATTCCTCCCAAATCCAACATCTGTTTGTCTTCTGGGACTTCTCAGGCTTTGAGTTTGGGACGTTATATGGTGGCTCCCAATAACAGTAGATTCCACTATTCTATGTCTACATTGTTGTTTAAAGATAGGAAGTTTTTCTATTTAGTCACCTTTAAAACATGGATTGTATAAGCACAATTTACTTCTCACTCAWTGGCCTGACATGCAATCATTATTTGATGTGTTAAGCATCAGTTGCAAACTCARTCAGCAACAATTTTATATTTTATCTTGCACCACTTGATATAGGTGTTTCACACAAGTGCAGGGAAAGTACAGACCGTACACACCCCTCTAAGAGTTCCTCCAGTTCTACAGATGTCCCTAACACCTACTGTGTTCAGGCTTTCGTATATTAGATCACCACAAGCTCGAGAGGCAATTTTCTTTTTTCTTTTTTTCCAGAGCCAGTTCAAAGCAAGACTATTTTGTGCCTTCAAAACAGCTGTTAGACAGAAAAGCTTACYCTTTTGCCAACAGGTTCTTGATAACCATGCTAGAGCCCTGCCTGCTGTGCTCTTATGTGTCTCCTGGTAGGCCGGCATTGCTTTCAGTGCCTTTTACCCTCCTGTTTCAGGATAGGCAGATTTTCCTCTAAAAGGATTGTTCCATCAGCCTCTTTAAAGCCCCAGGTCTGGTTCCATCTCCAAGGAGAGCATGGTGAGCCTCTGACCAACTTGGCCTTTTCTAATTGTTTTCAATACTTTCCTCACAGCTGGATTGTCTAAGCATACAGCCTTTAAGGCCTCCTGTATCTGAATGGAAGAGTTTACTGATGATGAGGAAACACTTTTTAGACTTTGTTGTATGATGATCACTAAGAATTTCATTGTTAGAGGTTATTTGCTTTCCCAGCTGAATACTACTATACCYGCCAGGTCTCTTGCAGTTCCTCCTGAAGCATTTTCTCTGAAGTATTGACATATGTAGAAATTCCTGAAAGGTCTTTTTGTCTGGACATCATAGTATTCTGTTTAGTAATTACCTTCCTGGAATGTTCCTACTGATATTTTTCATGTTTCTGCACTTTGTTTCCCAAACAAAGGTGTAGCTATTTCATCATCAAATGCAGGGGATGAACCTATCCTTTTCACCTGAAAATACCTCTCCAGTTTAGACAGGAAAAAAATGCAGATGGGTTGAGATGAGGTAACTTGGGACTCTGCGGGACTCTGTCTTCCTTCTGGAACACAACAACTGGGCGGATAGTGTGAACAAGGAATTGGTTTAGGGGCTTGTATTATACCAGATCCTAGTGCAGAGATTAAAGGAGAAGGAGATCTGAAGACGAACTTGATAATGTAACAGTTACAATGCCAAAATTCAAAATCTTCAAAATCCAAAGCTTAAAAAATAAATAAAGGTGGGTTTGGGGAAGGGGCAATCATTAGGAATTTTTTTTAATCTGTGCAATTCACATTTTCTAGTTTCTTTTCACAGTYGAAGACTGCAAATGGGATATTTGAGTTCAAAAGTCACTCCATGTCTTTAGGGGAAATGCCAGTGCCACAGCAACATACTTTTTAATGCAAGAGCTTTCTGTATTTAAGACAAAACTAGCCAGAGAGAGAGAGAGACAGACAGACAGAGACAGAGAATTAAACCCAGTATGTCTTCCATGTGAACACATTGGTTRGTTTTGATTTGGAGCACAAATGTCACCCAAGCAGGCTCTTTGCAAGTGCAGATGTGGGAGTCTCAGCAAGGCAAAATGCAGAGATCATAACAGAGATGATATTAAAATAGAAATAGTGGTTTTTCTTTCTGAAAGACATGGGGCCTCAATTATCACAATGCCATGTGACTTTTTAGTGTCAGTATCTGAGGTCTATCTGTGAGCTACTGTGTTCATAAAAGCTGTGTGTCATCCTTTCAAGACATAATATTCAGGAGAAGCCTGGAATATCCTCATGTGGAACAAAAGGATCTCCTGAATATCAATCTTTACAAATACTGGATGACAAAGGGTTATTTTCGGAAGCAACCATTAGTCTGTGGTTAAAACTATTTGAACTGTTATGTACCTATAAACKTAAATATATACTTTGCTTTAGACCTGTATGTAGTTTCATTGTCCACAGTAGAGCCACTCCTTGTTCTCAAGCACATGGTTGGCAGACAGCTTGGCTGGGTCACGCTTAAAGCACAAGCTGGGAGTCATCCTGTTCCTGATTACTTTATTAGCTATGATATATCAATTGCTATAGACGGTGTACTTCTTGACCGCCTTATAAATGAGAGAAGACAGCATTGTTTTACTAGTCCTGTGAGTTTACCGTTTCAAAGTTTTGCTAGCTAGTGGAGGAGAAAAACATGGGACTAATTCAGGGTCTTCCCCTTCTTTYGTCCCCGCTAACCTTGATTTTAATATTGACTTGATCTATGGTTTTGTATGGCTCTGTTAAGTACATCAGCAATTATGTCTTTCAGACCTTATTGCATGTCTGTGAAGGACCAGAGAACCCATAGACTGAGCCCAATACTTGTCTTTTGCCATTCTCCACACCCCAGGCATCCCTACCATACTCCACAGGGAACCAGTTGCAGGGTAGTCCTCATCCTTTAAGACTCCTGGGAGACTCCTGGAGCCAACAAAATCAAGCTTTTTTTTTTTTTTTTTTTTTTTAAATTTATTCTTCTTTCTTCTAAGAACCTGAAATGAGTTTGTATTGAATTGAAAACAAAATCTGTCATTCAGCCATCTTTATTTATTTATTTTTTTTTCTGGTGGCATAACAACGATCTTCCAGTTGTTTCATCTAGCTCAGTGCAAGACAACAAGATCTTTTAAAYGGTGTTATGTAATTATAGTCTACTTATTTTTTAACACACAGATCATGATTAACTTTTTCTGTAAGAAAGGTGAACTGATTTTGAATCCCTTGAGAGGGACTCACTAATAGGCAAGCGGTTGTWTTATCATTTCTATCTGCAGCAAAAAGGTTATTAATACCACAGAGAGAAGGAAAAAAAAACTCAAACCTTTAAAGTTTAAAAAAAAAAAAAAAAAAAGTCTGAATGAGATACTGTGCAGACCTGCCTCACAAACAAGCCACTGTGAAGAGGAAAGAATGTTTCAGTGGTTCTTCTCCGGTTTCTTTAGGGCAAGAATTTAATCATGTGTAATGATTCCTCATTCTCTTTGCCTTGAGGAAAAATAAATTGGACTGTCAGTAATAAGCTTACCCAAGAAAACATACTAGCTTGTCTTTTTATTGTACTTTGAATATTTCTTTTGTTTGCATCCTGTTCTAATATTATAAAAGCATATTTGCTTTGTGTCACCTATCAAGAAACCTGGCTATGGTATTCTCTTTAATTTTTTTCCGTGTAAACATTTGAGAGTTTACCAAGTGCTGTGTCTTAAGTTTTTGATAATTCCTCATCTGTAAAGCACCAGGAAGCAGCATTTCTGCCAAAATTTACCCAGAGATAAAGACAACAAATAATTTTGTGTAGGTGGCAATATGGCATCTCATTATCTGGGATTACCAAAAAGACAAATTATATTTTAATTTCTATTTAGTTTATTATCAAAAGCCTACATCTATTGCCTTCCTTGAAAGCTGGCTGTATTTATGGGGAGGTTTTCTGGATTTAAAAATCTCCTGCTTGGTTTGAGAGTAGTCAGAATCCATTCCAAAAGAAAATATTTATGTTTAACTCTGCAAAAGTGGTGCAGAACAAGTAAGCTGTGTTTACATGTACCAAGTGTGTTYCAAATAATTTTCAAACTTGTATAGTTTTGGCTTTAGCCTTCATCTGAAAATCCTGTGCAGTCTCATGGGCTTTCTGAGGTTAACGGGGATGTCACTGAGGACAAGGACTCCTGGAAGAAATATTGGTCCACTTGTGCAACAGTATAAATAGCAGATTTCCTCCTTTACTTTGTTAATACTTCTTGTGCTGATGTTCACAGATATTTTCCTGTGAACACAAAGAATTAGCTTTGTGGTTAAGTTGGTAATTGAGGAGTACTACTATACTCTTTGGACTACTATAGTTTTGGGTCTGGAAAGCAGCCCAAACATCTGTTGTACCTATCCTACCTCCTTTTCTCCCCATCCTATGCCTTGGTTTCTGAAGGAAGAAAGTTTGGGACCTAAGCTGGGACAAAGCCATCTAGATTGCCAGGGCCCAGAATCCCTCCATGTGCCAGTTGCTCAATCTCAATGGAGTTAGTTCCAATCCTGCACTAAGGAAGCAAACTACAGATACATATTTACATCAGTATACCCAACTGAGTTAGAAAATCTTGGTCAGCTGCAAATTCAGGCAAAATGCCATGTCTACATGTAAGCGAACCTTCAGC